TGTGTGTGTGTGTGTGTGTGTGTGTGTGTGTGTGTGTGTCCCTGCACTGGTATTATTTTGGAGGGAAAACCTGCCTCAGTGTTAGCGGTGGTTTCTGTTGGTGGGTAATTGCATGCTACTCAAGGTGTGGAGGAGGAGGGGGGGGTTGTTCCTCTCTTCATGCCTGTGTGAAAAAGGGGAAGTGCAGACATGAGCAGCTGCAGTCAACCCCCCCCCCTCCTCCCAGGCCCCCACCTGTCTTTACCCGCAACCCTTTTCTCTTGCTTGTGCCCAGACAGCGGTTGATGACGCTGCAGTCGGGGCTGGGGCCTCTCTCTCTCTCTCTCTGAACAAATGAAGGCTGAGTGTATTTATAGTCCGGCGTGTCACCCGGCAGCCAGCGGACGGGGGATTACCTCGGCCGCGATGAACAAGCGGAGCATCATTCAGTAATGGGCGCTCGCTCTGTGACTCACGGCCCACACAGGCAGGGTTCACCACACTATCGCCGCTGAGGTATCGCTTGTGTGTTTTTGTTTGCGTCTCTCTCTCTCCGCATTGTTATGGGGCGTTTAGAAAGAATCCAAGAGAGCGTGCTCAACGAGAATAAGTGCAAACTTGTCAAGGATGCGAGCGCGATGGCCGCTTAAGAGGAGTTCTCTGCTCGATGTCTGTGCTGCAGCCGGTTCACTCGTTTCTACTGCAGGCTGTTGCACCGTTCAGATGAGAAGTGGTGTTATTCAAATACCCCCCCCGTTTTACATAATTATATTCAAAGTGGCTTGAACTAACCCGGCCTCTTACACCTCCACGATAAGCCAAACTGACCCCAGCTGTAAACGTCTGAAAGATGTTGAGTTTTTAGGATTGAAATGCATGAAAATCTGCTCTCTTGTTTTGTGGCGGGGGACTCCTTTTTCATATCTCATGCCACCGACCGGCGCTGCCCGGTGTGTGCTCGCAGCCACACTCTCATGCAAAGACCTGCTTATCTCATGCTGTGCGGTGCTCTTTTTTTTTTCTTTTTTTTTTTCGGCCTCACTTTCTGTGTGGATCATGCTTCACTTAACACCTTTGAGCCCTTGAAAGCACCACGGGCTCGCTGCAAGTGATTTTCCATGGGCTTTGTTGAGCTCAAAAAAAACTAGTAAAGCGAGGTGAAAGCTATCGAATTGCATTTTTACAATGAAACTCCTGAGCTGTGTCATTTGCATTGGATGTGATGGTGTCCCTCTTGCGTACGCTGAAGTAGATTTTTGTGTTACCTCGACTTAAAGGTATACTTTTGTAGTTCCTAGTTTGAATGGGTTACCATGGAATCGGTTAAATTCCTTCAGCTGATAAGCCTGTTAACATTTGTGCTTCTTCTTGAATCATGCGCGGTACAGGAAGGGCTTTTTGACCTGCAGTGCCGATGTCACGCCGAGTGTCCGTTTACGTCGGGCTAATGTGCGGCAGCAGAGTCTTTGTGACGGAGCTTTCTATAGAAAAAGGTGACGCTTGTTTGAGTATATTCTGTCTGGCACCAACAACGGGTTGTTTTTCCCTCCACTGCTGGGTGGGAAGTGGACGTTCGTGGTGGGACGCAACGGGTGTGCTGTATGGCTTTGTGAATTCAAACGTGTTTCTATTCTGTAGCTTTTAAATCACAGTGAGAAGGTTGGAGTTAAACATATTGAATTGCCTTCAAGGCAGCGCAAAGATTAGCTTAACACAGGGCGCACCATTGATTGTAGTTTATTATTTACCATATAACGGTCTGTTTCATTTTAAACAAACCGAGTTATATGTGCTCTGTATCTAACTATTTTGCAAAAAAAAGTACTTTGACATTTTGTGTTTCATGTTGCCGTGCTAGAGAAATAATGAATGTAGTCCATCTCGGAGTAAACGTGTTCTAGTCCAGATTCTAATAGAAATACACCGATTGCAATATTATTTGCCAATCTCCAATTTTATAAAAGTCTAATCTGACATTTCGGATTTTCTTTCCATCTAAAAACTATGATTGACAGCGTATACAAACTGTTCTTTCACGGCCAGTTCAACTGTACGTCCGGAATAAAAGATTGAGTATTATTCTGTCTGTCACTCAGACATACCTCAAAATAAAAGTGCTCCAGGTGTCTGCACAAATGAAATGCGAGCTTTTCACTCTTCTTCTTCACTCACACTGAAGAGATTCCACACTGTGTGTGTGTGTGTGTGTGTGTGTGTGTGTCACAGTCGTAAACAATCCAAATGTGTCCTAGATTGTTTCCTGTTGCAGTGAATGAGACGAGCCGACAGGAAGTAAACACTCACCCTCGCTGTTGCCTAGCAACGGGAAGCCGTTAAAACGGTCCATTTAGGACCGACAACCAGCCAAATTGGACCTATTGTTTGGTGCATTTCTAATTGTTAGTGTCTAGTCGATGGAAGCTGTCGCCAATCAGAGCTTCAAAATACACTGAGTGTCGGTGGCTTGTTGGGGGTTTGTTCTCGGCATCACAGAGAAATGATGCTCCATCAACTTCAAAAGAAGGGAAATGTGTCTGCATAATTCAAAACAACAACACCTTAAGTGTTAAAAAGTTTCTTTCTTTCTCCCTCTGCAGATACTTGGAGAAGTATGAGAAAGTCCACCACTTCGGCGAGGACGATGAAGAAGCGCAGCCGGGGAATCCCAAAGTCTCTCTTCCAATCGGTGCAATTCCCAGCTCTTACAACTACCAGCAACACATCGTATCAGGTGGGCAGAGACTCCGTGTGTGCTTTTAGTATTCAGAAGCTCTCTCGTATTCTCTCTGTTCACCAGTTCACTCTGCTATTCTGTCTGGGTCACGTCTGCTCCAGGTTCATGGGTTCACTTTCTATTTACATCCTCTCTGGTTTTCTGTCTCGCTGCTTCTGCTTTGAAGTTCACCCCGTCTGTCTCTCTCTGTCTGTTTGTCTGTCTCTCTCTGTCTGTTTGTCTGTCTCTCTCTG